TGGGAAATAAAGTCCTCAAAAGTTACATCATGCCACTGCCAACGTGCACAGTTGTCCAGTGCAGCCTCAATCTCAGTCTCTTGAGCAATGGGTCTCCTCTTGAACTGCGGCAGCCAAAACAAATGACAAAAGTTTCTCCAGCAGGCGCCTCAGAGATGATAAAAGTCTGACTCAAGGACATTTCAGCAGACACTGGCTAACATGGCAACTGTGACCCTTCAGTTGACCAGTCTCTCTGCTGAGCTCTGTCCTATCTGCGTGGAGATAAGCCTGCAGACATAATGGACTGATAGCGCAGCTCTTAACCTCATGATGAATGGAGCTCTTTCATCCTCTGTCGCTTTGCTTTTATCTCTTTCTGTCTCTGTTTATCACTTCACAAGATTTAGCCTCAGATGCGCTGACAGAAAATACCACATTGCACGTATCGTGCCATGAATGCAGATGTTTTTTTCAGCCAGAGGTGAGGCTCCATCGTTCTGCTAGCAATGAAATATAAATGTGTTTGGATGCGAGGGAGACGCTGGCCGAGGTGAAGTTGGGAAAAGGCCAAAGAGGCAAACGCAAGAGCTGGAGAAAAAACAGAAGTCAAAGTCAAGTGAGAATTCAAACAGAAAGCAAATGTGGATAACACAGAGTTGAATATGTGTTCGGAAAACTGGCAGGCTGCTGTGAGTGTGTGCGCTTGCATCACATGAATGTGTGTGTGTGTGTGTGTGTGTGTGTGTGTGTGTGTGGCGAAGGGGCCTCCCGTGCAGTTACGCTGGAGCCACTTAGCTTTTTGGATGGCCGGCCTTTAATTTAAGAGAGGCCTGTTGAAAAGCCTGCTTTGATTGCTTTTCTAAAACAACCTCATCTAAAAGCCCTAAATAACCAAATACCTCTGTGACGACGACGGAGCAGATCCAAACTCTTAACTACGTCCCTGTTCCTGGGAATACACACACAGCCACATCCATTTAATGGCATCAGCCGCGTGGTTGCGGCATGAGTGGGGGTAGCTCGGGGGAGAGGAGGTCTTGAAATGAAATTAGGATTAGTGAGAGCAGATTCCTCCAGGATCCTGCTGGTCTGAAGCCAGGCAGCTCTTAAACCTGTTTCTGGGTCTTTCTAACTCTATCGACTTAATTTTTCTGCCCTTCCAACCTCTTTCTTTCCCCCTCTGTCTCCATCTTCTCCTCCTCTAATAGCTGACATTTACAAGGAGGCCACAGCAGGGTTCGTAGAAGGTAACAGCCATAAAGTCTGACACACCTCCAAAGCTTTTCTCATTCACACACACACACACAGGCGTGAATTGGCCATGAGGCTCCTGTGGCGTCATGCCAGGGTTTTTCCAAACGAACCAGGAGGAGGAGGAACTGCAGCGGTGTGTCACAGAACGAGTGATATGAAATAACAACAGCTAATGCTAATTTCCATAACTCACAAGTCCAAATTTCCACATTACGGTTTTCACTTACTTTGTGCCAATCATTGAGACGAGATGTTTGAAAGACATATTGTTTGTGCCTCCAAATCCAGCTTGGGGAATTAGTAAAAGTGGTTTGGGACAGGGTGGTTTCCATTTCTTTCTCTTTTTTTTTTTTTTACAGCTAAAGTAATGTTTTGGTGGGTAAGTGAATGACTGCCTCCTTTATTACATAATGTGTCAGTGATTGGTGAGCAAGGCACTAGTCCTTGAACAGTTCAAAGCTAAAATATGAATTATTTTGCCTTAAAAAGGACCAGATTTAGTAGAATCTGGTAGTTGGAGATTGCAACGCCCTCATCTCACCTCCCCATTGCAAGAGTTTGGAGAAACTACATGAAAGGCCCCATCTAGAGTATATGTAGATAAAAACTGCTCATTCTAAGGGAACAAAAACACAACGATTCCTGGTTTCAGGTGATTATACATTAATAAAAACATACCTAAGAATATTATATTCCACACTGGACCTTTAAATCTATGACTTGGCAGGGAGACTACATGTTAGAGAACAGCTTGCGTGAGGTACATCGGGAAGAGTGCTATGGACTGACTTTACTGCTCCACCAGTACAATGAATGCTTGGCGGTGAACTTGGTACAGTCTGTATGTGTGCAGGGGGTAGTCGAATTATTATAGGTTCACCAGTGTCACAGAACATGAAGACATGGTTATAACTAGGGAAGAGAAGCCAAAATGTTTATTTTTGTTACCAAGGGCTGATGGGTTGGGCCATTGGGCTGATATCTGAATGTGGTGTTCAACAATACCAGTATGTAATGCATTGACTGTACATCTGCAGTAATTTAGATCTATTTCCTCAAACTACTGCTGCAGAATTGGCTGATTGAGCTTCGTTACAGTAAAGGCCCTGACACACCTGGCCGACCGTCAGCTAATGTTGGGCTGTCGGTGAGCGTCTGCAGTCCTAATTCTTGTGGTGTGTTAGTCTGAGAGAAATGGAAGCTACAAGCAGAAAACAACTTTGTCTTTATCGCATCTGATCACTCAAATACACAGATATTTTAACAACAACAAAACCTACATTGTTTGTACCCGCAGTCCTAGATCTTCTGGTGTTCGGCTGGTATTGATAGTTCTTACCTCTCGTGCAGTTGCAGAACGTACGAGCTAGCTGGCTCTTTGCTGTAGTCGGTACAGTGTGTTCAGATGTGACTTTTTGGCCAAAGACACGGGCGATGCAACAGTCGGCTTTTGTCTGTGCTAGTTCTTTGATGTCGGCTTGGTTTGTAAGTGAGATATAACTAAGTGAGATAAGGCCAATCACAACATTACTGATAGTGAGAGTGTCTTAGGGGAAACACCAGATGGCTTTGATTTAACCCACTGACCAAGGTACCATTAGAAAGAAGTGGTAACAACCCAAAATGCATCAAATCTGGGCTAAATGCCTCTAAGCTGCATGCAAAAAATGCAAAACTGAGTATAATTTAGGCACTAAACCCCACTTCCTGTCCTTTTCTGGCTGGATTTGACTTGATCTACAGTCCAGTGATGCCAACTCATGAATCAGGCTAAAGGTGGTGCTGTCTTTTCATCACCCCGAGAGCGTTCATGAGAAGCAGTTTCTACAGTGGAGTCCTCTGCAGCCTACATAAAGGGGAGTATGGGAACCATGCAGTACTGTACAAAGGAGCCCGCCACCGTCACGCTTTATCCCTGCCCTGTCTTTTATGTAGCTGTCTAAAGGGTCAAGCTTGTCACGCTTCCAGAAAATGCCGCGACGTACGTAACTTCACACGTTGAGTTTAAGAGCTGTCACACATGTACAGAGCTCTGCGTTAGCCGCAGGAAGCACGGAGGTCAACCGTGCAGCGTGACTCAGAAAACTGATTTCACGACTGAGATTAGAAAAATCTCCAAGAACAAAATGAAGTCGCTTCAAATGGATACTGAGATCTACTGCTGCGACTTTTGGCATTGAAACATTTATATAACAAACTTTTCAACAGATATAACAGTAAAATTGTCAAGTTATTAAAGTCAATAAACTCAGCAGCAGGACTTTACATTACTAGAGTTTGTTTATTCTGCGTGTGTGCTCTCAATGCTAAACTGGAACCGACAGTTTAAGAGGGGTGTAAGGTTTCAGACATCATCCCAGTGTGTTACTTTAGACTAACTGAGCGGGTTTTTGTGGTGCATGTATGTATACGTGTGTGTGTGTGTGTGTGTGTCCTTCATTACAATTCAACCTTGAGGGATGGCTGATGTCATCTGGATAACAGAGCTCTGAGAACCAACGATGGAGAATGTGCTCTCTTTCGCAAGTTGTACAAGTTATAAAACTACAAGTCTGGTTTCTTACTCTTCTTTCCTTCAGTCTCTCTGTATTCCTTTCCTTCAGTCTTTCTTTATTTCTTTCCATCCCAGTTCAGAACAAAGATCCAGGACGAGAACAAAGAGTTTGCAGGGAAACGTTGCAGCAGTGTGAAGTGGTTATATCAGCTCAACGCAGGTTGATGGCGTGCCTGCAGCTTAAGTTGTCTGGTTTAAGATCGTACGTCAGTCACGTCACCTGTTTCAACAGCCAATCAGCTCGTTGCGAAGTCAGCTGGAAAGAGAGGATCACCTCTCATCAATCTGTTTGACAGAAACTTAGACTGTACCCATGAACCCAAGGATGGCTCCAAATTCCCAACCCTCCTTTTCGAGGGTTAGGGTTAGGGTTAGGGTCGAGGGAATTTGTTTTCGACATTTCATGCAACTGTAGCAACTAACTCCTGATCACTTTCCTCATTTTATATTTTAGGATGCAGTAAACTATATCCAGCTACAAAAAAAGCCTGAAAAGCTGGCAGTTAGAACAAAGTACAGAGAGCACAACATGTGTTATAAGAGCCTCATTTGAGAGTGAATTTACTCAACATGCACGGGGGAACTTCTATCATTGTTGGGGATACAACCAAGGATTTCTGTACTGACACAAGGACACTGGAAGTCACAGTTTGGGGTGCTGAGAGAGATCATTTATAACCCATTTAATAGTTATTATCAACATTTTACACACATTTTATAACTCTTGGATAAAACAGATAAAAACTAAAACCTAAATAAATACCAGTGTACACATGTAAATCCCAGGCCCCTAAAATCATCCTAAAGTAGTCACATAGTTTGTTCTTGTATTTCCAGGGCTCCACAGACATTAAAATTCCCAATATCTTGTTTGAACATAATGTCACGTCACTGCGATCCTGTGGCCCGAACTGCAGACGGAGGACAGGATGTGATTTTACGGTAAAATTACAGTTTTTATCAAAGGAGTCTGGTGGCTTTGAAGAGAGCCATTCATCCTCAGTTCCCCATTTCAATTAAACTGAAAAAAATGCTCCTTTTCATAACATAAGAATCAGGTCCAACACATGTAGTGATTTCCTGTTTGTACCTTTCTCTTATAATAACCAGCAGAGACTTTTCTCCATCTGAACTTTACGCATCAGCAGCTAATGGCAGATTAAGTGATCTAGTATGTACCTACGATTAAACCCACTCACACACATCCTACCTGCCAGGCAGAGTCCAAAGATGGTGAGAAGAACCAGGATGTAGAGGGAGACGATGGCGTACTTGATGGCTGAGAGCGAGTTTAGGTGACCGCAGCACATATCCTGCTTCCTGCGACGTTTACCAGAACCTGAACGAGACGAGAAAATTAGCATCGAAAAACAAGAGAAAAGTCCAAACAGAGGTGGAAATATTGCAATAAGCCCTTCCCTTATGGATAAAACAGCAAAGGGAATTTGGCATTTAGATTGTTTAAAGATTTGTTTGCATCCTACAAAACGAAACATCAGAGAGCTTGTTAATCAGTTGATGGGAAAGTACGTGTAAGGAGTTTGAAAAGAGCAACGCTTCATGTTTTCCAGTTTCAGAGAGCCCATAGAAGCGAGCACAGGTGGTTGAAGTTAAGCAAATAAGTCCAAAGGCTTTTATCATAAAGCTTGACATTTACTGTTGCAGTGACATAGTGCATGAACACAACGTAAGATCATCCATCACGTCATGACCGCGGTGCACGCAATCATGTGTTTTACCTCAGAGCACATTCTGTGGAGAGCGTACACAGGCAGCAATATAAAAAAAATGTAATCAGATTAGTTACATTTAGTAAAAATGGGGATTATTAGCAGAATTGCAATTTTAAAAACATTTTAAAATAAAGAATGACAGAAAAAACAAAGGCAACAGCTTCATTTAAGTCTAACCTTATATTCACTGTGTTTATTGTTTCATCTTTCATTTTTATTATTGCTATATTTTACGGTGTTTATTGCTTATTCTATATATTGTTACTGATGGTTCTAAAGTATGTACATTATGCTACAATATAGACTGTAGAAGATACAAATATATTCATGCTACAGTATATATAGTATATATATATAAGTATTGAGAATCCTTTAAAAATGCAGTATTTGTGACAGTAGCTAATATTATAGATAATTCTTTATCTTGGCTTGCACTAGGTTATATACCTAAAACTCAAGTAACATAAAGTAATCAAGTTACTGTAATAGCGTGATACTTCATTAGGTTACTGACTACATTTTTTTACTGGTAATTAGTAACTGTATCTGATTACATTATTACACAACCCTCTCAACCTTTCACACACACACACACACACACACAGAAGAGCTACA